CCGTCCTCTAGCACCCACCAAGCGGCGGCAGCGGCAGTGTCTAGAAATATATAGCTAGAAATATCAAATCGCCCCGCTCCTGCACCATGGTTTTCCAAAGTAGGCTCCCTCCTTGGATTATTTTGTGCTCCGTCTGGCTGTTCCGCTTTGCACACACGGGGGAGGCACAGGCTGCAAAAGAAGGTAAGGTGATGCGGAAGACAAAACTTTGAGTTTATTTATTGTTTTTTGCACACGAAGTGTGTGCGGTGGCTGAGCGGAGGACCTGCTGGCGCTGCCAGCTGCTTGGCAGCCCCCCTTACAAAAAAAAAATAAATTAAAAAAATATTTTTTAGTCGAGATGGAGGGAAGGAAAAAACGAGGCATTCACTGGGGGTGTGAGTCTGTACGTGTGAGAGACCGGGACAACTGCCTTTGCTCTCAGGAGCGAGGTTTGGGAGGCATTTGCACGTGATGAAAAGGCATGGGGCTGGGGACACAGGCACAGGAGCCTGACTTTCCTGTGGCAGCTTTAATCATCCCGCCGAGGTCTAGGGAGGGCGGGTTACCTCTCTGCTCTCCGGGCGGCAGCTGCAGGGGCTGGGGGACCACTTGCAGGGCTCGGGACGTTTCGGGGGAGGCACTGCACGGCTCGGGGCAAGCCCGCACCGCTGCCCGTCGGGGGCCTGCGGTGCTCCGGCCCCGCGGGGCTATGCACAGACCGTGGGATGGAGCATCGGGGTCCAGTTTTGTACCTCCCGGCCATGCAGGCTGAGCATGCCTCTAGAGGGTACATACATCTTGGTACCGTGTCTCTGTAACGTGTGTGTTCTCCCTCGGCAAGAGGGAGAGGTTTGGGGATGGATGTTTTTACACGAGCTGCGTATCACAGCGGGGCTTCCCGGTTCCCATCAATCCAACACCGGTATCTTTGTAAGGCGAACCCCGGACATTTGTTTCCTCCGCGCACGGAGAGAAAACAGGCAGATTTCTATCAAAGGCCGATGAAGGTGTATAAAATCTATTGACAAAGTCCATCTGGGAATCTCTTTTCTCACTCTGAGGAAAATTCCAATGATGTAAAGGAGTGCCCTGCCCGCGTTTGACAGCCAAAGGCCAAGGTCGGTCTTCATCTTCGGGGGGTGAGGAGGGACACGACGACGACAGGGAAGGGGGAGTCAGGGTCTTGCTCGGTGTCTCTGCATATGTATGCATTTGGGGCTTTCTCCCCCCCCCCAGCAGGATCCATCAGTATTTTTCATCAAACCGCTGGCATGCAGTAAAATACCATTTCGAGCCTGTAGCTGGAGCTTAAAATTATCCCTCCATTAAAATGTCCTCTGCCCTTAAGAGAAGAAGGCGATGGCGAGGCTTGAGGGGGAAAGAAGACAGAGCCTGTCTTTAGCAGCATTTCGAAAGTTTATGTGGAGAGGCTGTAAAACGCAGAGATCCCCCCCCACGGCGAGTAGTAGTGAGTGGCCGTGGGGTGAAAAGCGGAGAAGGGCCAGGGAGGCAGGCGGGGGGGGGGCGGCCCCGCTCTGCCCTGCAGATTGCGCTGCCGTCGGGGCTGCGCGGGTGCCTCCCGGCAGTGGTCTGCCTCGTGTGTGTGTGTGTAGTGAGTGTATGGATGCGTGTACATCTGCATCTCTGCGTGTCAGTGTGTGTATAATGTGCGTGTGTTTGGGGAAAAGCAGCCTAGCCAAAGGAGGGTCAGGAGGGGGCGAGCGGCAGACAAGGATTGATAGCGGCTACCTGCTGCAAGCGCAGAAAACTCCACTGGAAGAAAGAGCGAGGGAAAAGAACAAAGTTCCTTTGCGGCTTCCCCCCCGGCCTCGCCGAAGAGCCGGTGGCGGCACCAGTAGCCCCGCGTGGTTTTCCACCGCACCTCGCCGGCGTACGGAAGAGGGATGGGGGGAGAGGCTGAAAAAGTTTTCCATGTTTCCCTTCTGTAGCTAAATAAAAGCTTCTGTGAGATGGGGAGAGGAGCCGGGCAAAGTCGGTCTAGATCTCCAAGCGAGAGGGTGACCGCGTTACCTGCGGAGTCCTCTGCCAGCGCCGTGGCCGGGACCCTCGGGGCGAACGGAGACGCGGGGGCGCTGCGAACCGCTCCCCTCGAGGGGTGGGAGTGGTGGTGGGGGGACATGTCTTGTCCGGGGGGCAACTGCGGTACTCTGTGCGCGCTACTCTGTGCAGCGCTCGGCGTGGGTGCGCGGCCGCGGCTCCCCGCCTGCGCGGAGGCCTGTGGAGCCCCGTTCCCGCGACCCCGCGCTTCGCACGCCGGTGTTAACCCTCCTTTCGCTCTAGTCTCGTCGCGCCGCGGAGAGGGGCCCCGAGCAGCGTGTCTCTCCGGCGCGGAGCGCGGGCCCGTTGCGCCCCCGCGGAGGGAGCGCGCCGGGAATCTCGGTGTGCTCCGCTCGCGGGTGGCTGTGGATCCCCCCGCAGTCTCCCCTCCACGTTGCTTCCCAGCGCTGCACCAGCCGCGGGCTTGGAAGGCTCTTCCCCGGCAACTTTCGGTGCCACCCAGAAACGCGGCGTTTTCTTGGCGAGTGGTGTTTGCAGAGCGGGGCTTTATTTGTTTGTTTGTTTGTTTGACGTATTTTCGTGCTGGCATGTGCCCAACCGTTGCTATGTGATGGAGAATTGGTGCCAAATAAAAAGCATAATGAATTGCCTACATGGGACGTTTGTGCTGGTGCTGACATGGTTAAAATTCCGTGGTACCTTTATTCCAGGACCATTAGAAATACTCGGTTGACAAACCACCACATACACCACCTGCTTTTCTATAGAGAGTGTTACAAAGTAAAGCCCCTTGAATCCAAGCTTAATGAAATAAGTAGATAATCTTTCTAGAAAGAGGCTATCAAACTTCCTTAATGAGTAGTTCCACTTTATTACTGGAATACAGGCCTGGAAGCTACTGTTTTGTGTTCAGCTAACATTCCAGATATTGCTGCCTGAACCTTTAAATAACTTTTTTAGTCATCTCATCTTTCTAACAAGTCACTGAGATTTTTTTAAGTTATACCAGGATAAAGGGCCAAAGCCAGAACTAAAACAATTTCAAAAGACCTGACAAAAGTTAGTTCAAGTTACAGCCTTAAATCATGCATTGAAATATCAGTACTTTAATGTTACGTATAAAGTTATAAATAGCTTTATAGCTAAATATATACCAAATAGATTTAAACTAGGAATTTCACTGTTTTAATCAAATAGAAGTAGAGAGTTAAAAGTGCAGCTTTGAAGAAAGAATCTTCAAAGTGTATCAAACCTAGATATATGGTTGATCACTTGACAGCTTTGGCTGTTTGAAAAAAGGTTTTATAGCAAATCTTTCTCTCTTTCTTTCTTTCTTTCTTTCTTTCTTTCTTTCTTTCTTTCTTTCTTTCTTTCTTTCTTTCTTTCTTTCTTTCTTTCTTTCTTTCTTTCTTTCTTTCTTTCTTTCTTTCTTTCTTTCTTTCTTTCTTTCTTTCTTTCTTTCTTTCTTTCTTTCTTTCTTTCTTTCTTTCTTTCTTTCTTTCTTTCTTCCTTTCTTCCTTTCTTCCTTTCTTTCTTTCTTTTTCTCTCTCTCTTTCTTTCTCTCTTTCTCTCTCTCTTTCTCTCTTTCTTTCTCTCTTTCTTTCTTTCTCTCTCTCTTTCTCTCTCTCTCTTTCTTTCTTTCTCTCTTTCTCTCTTTCTTTCTTTCTCTCTCTCTTTCTCTCTTTCTTTCTCTCTCTCCTTCTTTCTTTCTCTCTCTCTCTTTCTTTCTCTCTTTCTCTCTTTCTTTCTCTCTCTCTTTCTCTCTTTCTTTCTCTCTCTCTTTCTTTCTTTCTCTCTTTCTTTCTCTCTCTCTTTCTCTCTCTCTTTCTATCTCTTTCTCTCTCTCTCTCTCTTTCTCTCTCTCTTTCTATCTCTTTCTCTCTCTCTCTCTCTTTCTCTCTCTCTCTCTTTTTTTTTTTTTTTCCCCAGACATCATAGATTAACATATATACCATTTGAAAGTCCCACAAAACCTAATAATAATATGCTAAAAGAGAAGCTTGTAACTATAAATGAAATATTAAACATATATATAGAAACGTAAGTCTAGAGGTAACAGAACATCAGTAATGCAGCCTCCAATAGGTACTGTAGAGTATGTAAGAGTTGGTTTGTTAGTCTCTGATTAACCACTTTTGAAGACAGGGTTACCTTTAGCTGAAAGTAATTCTGGTGCTACTGGAACTGATGGCTTTTTGTATAGAAGTGTCACTAGAATATAATGACATGAAGATTTTAGTCAAGCCATTACCTTAGAGTCAATTAGTCTGATTCTGCATATGTAGTGTTTTGTGTATGCAAAGTGTGAGGTAATAGCAGAGTCCTTTATTTTCTGTATTCCTGGTTGTTATTTCTTTATAGAATTGCAGTGCAACTCCTGGTAAGGTATAAATTAGTCCTGTCTAAATCAGCTTGGAAAAGTGTTGAAATGTTGGTGTGTGTTTGTTTATTTTCAGCTTATTGTAATAAACAGCATATTGGAAATGTCCTTCTTCTGACAAAGGAGATGAAGGCAGCATGGATCTTAATGACTGATTAGTAACACTTTAGAGCACTAAGAAATAACGATACTTTGATCTAAGCAATGAAATTTTAAAGACTAATGTATATCTGTTTATATGTGTATGGTGCATAAAAACGCAGTCATCAATTTACAAGTATATACATAATTGTGTTTGCAGATTTTTTTAAAATAATATGAAAACAAAATGACTTTGTACAAAAATTTTAATCTCATCACTTTTTAAGATTCAGACTTTATTCTTTAGTTTTTTATTCCCACTTGTTATATTTAGCAAGCTGTGAAAATTCTTTTTTTTTTCTGTTTTAGTAATATTGCTGGACTCTAAAGCACAACAGACAGAGTTGGAATGGATTTCCTCTCCTCCCAACGGGGTGAGTATTCCAGGCAAACAAGAAGTTCCTAAAGACGAGTAGTTACTTTACCAAACCAATTGAAAGGCTTGCTTTAAACTAACTTCCCCTCATATTTCTCTCAGTAATTGTACCAAGTGTTTACGGGTTTTTCATGTTTAGAATGGAATGAAACATGCATCAGATTACAGTGCAAAAATGTACAGGAGGAGTCTCTTTAGAAACTCACCTAAATGTTCTTGGTAGCTTTATGTTTCATAGTGTAATCCGTTGTGCTGTACCAGAAAGCTCTTTATAAGACCATATTTTAAATCACGTTTTCATCCTTAGGAACAGCAGATTTACTTCTGTGTGGAAACTTACTAAAAATCTGTTTTTCATTTTCTGTATAATGGGTGATCATAAATTTGTTTACGATGTTTTCTTTGTAATTGAATAGCACAGATTGAAGTGCTCTAAAATAAAAACATTTATGCTGCAGATGTGTTTGAACTGGTGTTCCAAACTAGAGACATCCCCAAGTCTCGAGGAGCTTGATATGTAGAACTAGGCACAAATTATGTGGTTAAGGCCACCTCCAGCTTGCTTATAAATTAATCTCCATGAGATGTACCATTGTTAAGTACATCTTTGTAAAACCCAAGAAGTTTAAAAATGGCGATGTTATTGTCTTATTTATTATATATGTGAAGTTGAGAAATGCTTCTTTCAGCCTGAATTAAAAGAGGTATAAAACCCCTTCCTCAAGCCTTGTGGAAGAACATTTTCAAAAAGATATAATGGGTATATTGTTCTACTTTAGTTCAGTCCTACTTCAACTCAGTCTGACAAAACATAAATTAAAAGAACGGTTCTTACCCATGGAAGCAGGTTTGATAAATCCATTGCAGCTCGTTGCAAGAACAAGAATCAGGCCCTTAATCTTCAGCGCATTAAGAAATGTGGAGCCAGAAGAGCGTGAAGTGTGAGTAGGGATATAAAAGTGTAACAAATCCTTTAAATAAGAAGAATGAAAATCTGAAAGTGTCTTTCTTTAAAAGCAGGATCGTAAAATCAATACAAGCATAGACTGGAAACCAATCTAAGGGCTTCAGAAGGAATGTAATGTGAGCTCAACATGTATGATGGCTAATAACCTTGGCATTAGTGTTTTGCACTGATTGAAGCCTTTACTAGAGGTGTTTGAAAGATTAGCTTGGTGGCAATTATATTAGGCTAGCCTGTAGATAATGAAAGACATGTCAACACATGTTACATGTGTCAACATATTTAAAGATAAAAGTAAAATAAAACTCAGCAAATAGTAAAATGCAACTTGTAGGGGTAGAAGCCAGTTTCAATCTGGAATTAAAATGAAGCAAAATTAATTACCAGAATCGTATGCATGAGAACTCTCAGAAATAATTGCCTGTATATTAATAGAAAAGTACTATCTTAATAATTGTGAAAATAACTATTTTTCTAGTTTTAATTACTAAATTTTCTGCCATGCGGTAAAAACTTAATGGAATAAACACAGAAAATCTTCTGGAGTGAAACTACTGCATCATCCCAGTACAGAATATGTCAGCCAGACCCTCATTAAATGCCTCATTCAGCTGCAAACATTGCATCTAACTATGGTCTCAAACATTGTTAAGATAACTAAGAAGTTAAAATACCATATATTGAAACCAATTGAACAAGTACACGTTCAGATAGAATTGCACATCTGTCACCATATGTTGCATCAGGACAAAGAAAATTTGAATTTTCTTGCTGTAAAAGCTATCACAGAACTGATCACTTTAGAAAGACTTTAATGAAACATGGCCTTAGGTAGTGTAGGTGAAAACATATTCTGAAGTACTGATATTGAAGAGTACTGCAGAGAAGCAGGTACACCTCCAATGGACTAGTAGCTCTGTGATTACAGAATTGAATCATAAATCCTATTTCCTTATTTTTTTAGGAAGATCATATACCATGACTTTGGGAAAGTATGGAAAGCTAGCCTTAAGCATTTAATGCTAGGGATAACATAAAGTAGGATTTACTATCTCAGTTTAGTGCTTTGTGTTGTGTTCCTTGACTGTAGCATAAGAATCTGTCTGATGCTACCTAGTCTCATGAAGCAGGCTTTTGACTCCAGGAGGGCTCATTTGTGATTGTATTATGAAAAATGTTTTGATTTTGTTAAATGTAGTTGGCTTGGTGGTGGTTTTTTGGTGGTTTTTTTTGTGTCTTGCTTTCTGAGTTGTGTTTTTTTTTCTTTGTGGGTGGGGATGTGTTTTGATGGAGCAGTCCACATCAAAACCTGAGGAGCCAGATTCTGTGGTGTGGTGCCTTAGAGTTACTTTCACTTCAGAGATACGCTATGTCATCTAACTGTACTATCTCAGCACAGAATCTGGTTTGGTGTTTTGAGGGATGACTGCTTACACAAGATAAAAAAACAAACAAAAAAATCCAAATTTAACTCAAAACAAAAACTCGGACACTATCTCATGTGAAATGGAGAACATGAAAATCAATTAAATTTTAGGCTTCATGCCTTTTTTGTTATCTTTGACGGGGTTTTTGTGTGGTTTTTTGTTTGTTTTACTTTACAATTTTTTTCCTTCGGTGTGAAGAGCCAAAAGCCTCCATTCAGGGCCCCTTTTTCCTTTCCTTGTTAAAACTAGTTATTCTGGAGGAAGGGAAATCTTACTGATTCAGATCTAATAAACCTATTATGAAGATAGAACATTTTCTGTTCTGAGTTTAATACAGTTCCATATGCAATCAGTTCAGTTAACTCCATGAGCATTTAATAAAATATTTCAATAATTTAATACGATATGCATATGTAATACCACACATACCACATCTATGCAAACTGTAGGCCTTTGATATTTACAGCTTCTGTGTGTTTCAGGATCTGCAGCCGTGATGTATCTTGTGGTGATAACTTCCAGTGTCAATTCAACCACATCTGCTTTTTCTTGGAGCAGTAGATCGACATAAAATGATCTCATTTGCTGTTAAATAGGCTTGCAAAGTACTGTATACTGCATGGCTTCTAGTCTGGAAAACCAATGCCTTCCATGCTTGGTTACCAGCATAAGGAATGTCAACGGGTGCTCCAGTCCTGCAGAGGTGCTGCGTATGCTAGTCCCACAAATCGCTTAAGCAGATGCTTACCATTAAGCTCATAAGTACTGTCATTGATCTTAAGCGTGAGCTTAAGTGCATTATTGACACAGGGCCAGAGGCCTAAGTGCCGTATGTAGAAGTCATGGCTGTCTGTATCATTGGGTGAGGGTAGCTCAACTCTCCCCCTCCCCCAGTTTATTACAGCTGCCATTTCTGCAGTGAATTAACTGTTACAAGAACTGTGAAAAAAGGTGAGAGGCAGATCTTGTGTTGGTTGCATCTGGGTAGATCTACCTGGTTGATTTCAGTGGCAGGTTTGCCTTTGCTGGAGGTGCAAATTCCCACGTCACCTGAGGCACTTAAAGACCATGGGGCAGTTACAGGCTTACCAGTCAGTTACAGAGTTGTTATCCTAAAGAGTGAACAACAACAAAAACGAGGCTTTGAACCAGAGAACTTTCAGTCACGTGGGTTGTCCTTAATTATGTATGCAATCTCATGGTTCATTTGAACTCCCAAGTAAATGAAGTTTGCTCCGTTTAACGTGGATGCAAGTCACTGAACAAAATGTGAGGCAAAGAGCTCCTACTTACCTTCTTTGGTTTGTAAGTTGAACAGAAAATGGACTGAACAAAAAAGGGGCAACCAGAATATTTTCTTGCTTTCAGTTTTTAAATGCTGTCCATTTTCTCCAGTCCTCCCTCTCTGTGCAGCTTTCATCATATAGGAGTGAAAATCATATGACACAAGTTTTAGGACTTGGTCTCATGCTTTGTGTACAACTGAAAGTTTAACTGGAAGTTTTATGTAGACAAGTTCTGTGTACTGTAAAAGTAGGCAATTTCAGTTTCTAAGACTTCACTGATTTTAGGTTTCTCTGGAAGTGAAGCTGCCTCCCTCCTTCTGGTCTTTGCTTCCCCAAAACTGTCATGACCTTAATGAAATGTGGGAGAGCTGAGTGTGTAGTCAGAACTTGATACATTGAATAATGTTCTCTGAAGCCTCCCCTTTACAGCTGTTCCCATGACATGACAATGATTTTTAGAAGTTACTGTTAGGTGGGAAAGACGCTGAGGGAGAAAGAGCCTGCAGCTGTGGTAATACGTATTTTCTTCATTTGAGTGTTTAAGAGTATTTTAACATAACCATTTTTTTCTTATTTTTTAATTTTTTTTTGTGTGTGAAATCATATTGTAAAAAAGGAGGAGATTTACGCAATAGTTACATCTGGTGGTGTACTTGTTTTGTATTACTAATTGTTTGTTATTGTTTTAGTGGGAAGAAATTAGTGGACTGGATGAAAACTACACTCCTATACGAACATACCAGGTATGCCAGGTGATGGAGTCAAACCAAAACAACTGGCTTCGGACTAACTGGATTGCAAAAAGCAATGCACAAAGGATTTTTGTAGAACTGAAATTCACTCTGAGGGATTGTAACAGTCTTCCTGGAGTTCTGGGGACTTGTAAAGAAACTTTTAACTTGTATTATTATGAAACAGACTACGACATTGGCAGGAATATCCGAGAAAACCAATATGTAAAAATAGACACTATTGCAGCAGATGAAAGTTTTACCCAGGGTGATCTTGGGGAGAGAAAAATGAAACTTAACACAGAGGTGAGAGAAATTGGACCTTTGTCCAAAAAAGGATTCTATCTTGCATTTCAGGATGTAGGGGCCTGTATTGCTTTGGTCTCTGTCAAAGTCTACTACAAGAAGTGCTGGTCCATCATTGAGAACTTAGCTATTTTTCCTGACACAGTGACTGGCTCAGAGTTTTCCTCTTTAGTTGAAGTACGAGGAACTTGTGTCAGCAGTGCAGAGGAGGAGGCGGAGAACTCGCCGAAGATGCACTGCAGCGCAGAGGGAGAATGGTTAGTGCCTATTGGAAAATGTATCTGCAAAGCAGGATACCAGCAAAAAGGAGACACATGTGAACGTAAGTAAGCATGCAACTTGTTTTATTATGTACATTATATATCATGTTCTACCAGCATTTAAATTTTTTTATAATTTAAGAGAGATACATCATCGGTGTACTTTTAAAGCTTTTGGATCCTCAATCTGTAAACTTTACACTGGCTAATCCAAAGCAGTCAGCTCTTCTTGATATGGAAAACAGCAGTTGCGTACTGCATTTTAAAATTTAAACAAGCAAATTTAACGTTGTATGAAGCATAGATTCAGGATTAGCATTTTAAACTGGTTATTGTTATGTTACTTGCTGAGCAAGTCATACCTATGACAGAACATTATATTAATAATATCAGATATGAGTAGTTAAACAGTTTGTTCTTTCACATGTTCTGTGACAAAATTGCAAGGAAACTAAAACTGAGGAAGAATGAGGTGTGGTTAGCAATTGGAAGAATACATGCACAGTGAAACCTGAGGCAGAGGTTTGTGTCATAAGTGCGTACAAAGTCAGAACAAAGAGTATAATTTTTGATCTTTCAAACAGAATATCAAGTTTCAAGAGTATAGTATGTTTTCCTATCTACAATATCTTTTTTGCACAAAGCTGACTCTTAATTTTTGGCTTTCTGTGGAATCATGGTGATTAGCTGAAAATACTTGCAAATCAGGGACAACTGAATTGTACTTTCTGATTAAGACTGGTTCAGTTACCTAGTTCGTTAGCCTTGCTGTCACTGGGGATGCATGTGTAGGACTCTTCTGCTTAGTGTGAGAAAGAATATTTCATTCTTTGCTTACAGTAAAATAAAGAGAATAGGCAGTTTGTTTGAAGACAGGTATTTTCAAAAGGTCTGTAATTTTTTGTCATAAAATGACACATGGAGTTATGTATTATTGTATGTTTACTGTAAGTTAGGCAGACATTTGTTGGTGAGAAATATTGTAAAAAACTGGAAAAAAAATCCCACAAGTCTCTGAAGAGGAGAAACCTACAGAACCTCAAAAACAAATCTGATAACAGTCACTGAGTCCAGGGTGTCTGTGTGAGGACTTCAGAATGCCCTACAGAGCATTACAAACATCCTAAATGAAAAATAAATATATCTAATTATGAATAATCTGTCCTCAGGAAAAAAGCCAATTGTATTCTTGATGAATTTTCATCATGAAATTTGGTACAAGATGAAGTGAGTGGAGTTGATGTGAATCCTTTGTAGCCTTGTACAAATCTTTCATTGTTCATTTGGGAAGGTTTGAGAGCTCATATGCTGTGGAGGGTGATCTCATTAGGAGTAATTGTAACATGAAAAACTGCACCCACAAAGCCACTCAGTAGACTAAATTCAAGCTCCATTAAAAATTTTAAACACTGTGTCCCATATAAATGTTTTGAGGTTTTTGAATGGTATTTTTTTTTGGAGCAACGGACTTTTTTCCTTTCCTTAGTTAACTTGCTCTTGATTACAGACCTATTAATGGTTGATTTAATTAATATACTGATTTTATTTGAATTTCAATAAAGGAGAGAAGGTATCCAAAAAAGAAAGCAGTGTATGTTGGGAAGTGGGTGGGATGCAGGAACTCAGTGAGTTGTGGTGGGATGCATAGAAAAGAAGTTGGTGTTTGGTAACTGGAATTCAAGTAACTTGTTTATTAAACAGGTTTCTTAATTTCTAACTGTGCTGATGTTGACAAAAGAATTAAATGATAACTTGTAATCAAGTATAGTAGTGAGCTTATTTGCAAGAATGCTTCCCATTTTTGGCTTGCTTCCAAAGCACTTGCTAAGAGAATGCACTACTCTGGAAATGGTCCAGGGGATAATTTCTCGTATTTTTCCTCTTTTCTTTCAGTGATCCTGTTAAGAGTTTCAAAACAAACTTTGGCTCCATATTGAGGCAAGTTAGCATATTTGAGAGGGAAAAGGTGGGAGGCAGGCTCAGAATCCCAGTCAGAAGGATCCAGGTGACTGTGGTGTGCAATAGTAATTGCTGTCTGTGATAGTTGTTAGACTTGTCTGTGCTTGGGGATGTTATTAAGTATGATCAACTATGTAGTGACCGATAATACAGCTGGCACACTGATACTGCGTCTGTTTTTTGTGACAGATATTGAGAGAAACTTATCTGAACATTGACACTAATGCAGCTGGCTATCTGTTACTGTCAAGCTGTGTAACAGATCAAGCAGAAGCAAGCTGGCGTGTGCTTCCTTAACCCAGAGCTTTTATAGCCCTGTCTGAGGGCTCACTTCTGCGAATACTTTGTACCTGGCATGCTGTGTGACTTCTTTCATGGCAGAAAGCATTGCGTGCTGTCAGGATGGGCAGAAGCCTGTGATTCCTCTCTCACGCTTGCTAGCTCAGCTGAATTAACACAATGGGAAGGTCTTTTAAAAATACAGAAGAATGTCTTATCTGTCTGCATTGTAGCAAAGATAGGAGTAGATGGCCATACTGTAGTTCCATGTAGGTCTTCAGGCTGTAACTCAGTGGGGATTTTTATTTGTCTTACACTGGCTTGATTGGCTGGCTGTGATTGACAGATGTATTCCTTTTGCATATGGCTTCTCTCCTGTGTGCGAAATTTATTTGGGTCAGATAGTAAAACAAGTGAATTTTGTTTTATACACAACTCTGCACTGGATGTGTTGCCGAAAGATTTTTTTTTTTGTTATAGTATTTACATGAAAGCAAGTAGTTGGTAAAGCTGGGAAGGATAAAGAAGAAAACAATAATAAATAGTGAAACACATAGCCTGGAAGCTGAGCTCTGATGTCTTCCTTCAGTGGTGCTAGATCTTTCAAGCTGAACGGATGTTTGGGGTTTATTTGGATGTACACTTACTACTTGCCAAGGAGCCTGTGCTACCTTAGTGGACTATCACAGTAACATACATGAGAGAGGGGGATTCCTGAGAGCTCTTAATTATCAGTTTAAGAAAATCTTTAAGCTGGGTGAAACAGGCATGAGGAGACTAGATAAGCGTCCAAACTTTGAACTGCAGATTCAGTGCTGGTGTATGTCTGCTTTTTGGCACTAGGGTTAGGTGTGGAAGTTGTACATTTTAAGGGATTGTCTTGAAACGTGCCTAGCAAAGGTACCAGACAGGTACTTGGAAATATTTAGTTCTTCCAACGTCACGTGTTGCATCTCTTGTTACAAAAAAAAGCCCCAACCACAAAACCCCAATAAAATTCTCACTAGCTGCAACAGACTCCCAATAGATCTACCATTTTTTTCCTCACAGTGGAGTCCAGTTGATCTGCTGTGCTTGTAAGGACCACAGTGTGATCAGTGCTGGGTATCTGAAGGACAAAATAATTCTTTGAAAACTTCTAGTGTAATGTATTTTCCATCTGTTTCATGTTAGTTGGGGGTGGAGAGGGAGCAAATTACATTTATTCAATCGGAGCAGTAGAGTGATATTTCACAAGGTAGGAAGCATCTCTTAATATGACTGAACTGAGAAATTACATAGATGATTTGGCACCAAGTAAAAAAATTCAGATTTCTAGGGAAAGCCAAATGGGTGCATTTTACTGTTAAACTTTTTATAATACCATATGCATTAACAGTAGTTTTATTGGTCCCAAAATAGGGAGAGGATTATAGCTATTTGTACATTTTATCTTGGTGTGGAAAAAAAGGGAGATACAGGCTTTCTTTCCAGACTTTGTCGATGAGCTGTATGCTGTGCCAGACTGCCAGCTTCATCTGTTCCTTCTTTTTTTTCTTCTTGGGACAAACTTTTATATCTTGACTTTCTGAAAATTTGCTAACAGATCCAGAAACTGAATTTGCCTTATGCTTGGCAAATTTTGGTAAAGTACATGAGGTTATTGTGGTTTTTATTTGTTTCATTATTTATTTTTGTTTGTTTTGGGATTTTTAGTATTACTCCACTTAGAAACTGATGTGCCACAAATTTACTAGTAGAGGTCAATGAATAAAAGGGGGAAATGGGATGAAGTTACAGTTAAAAAAATGTTACTGTGTGTTTTTTTCAGATTTTTAGTATTACTCCACTAAGGAGCTGATGTGCCACAGATTTACTAGTAGAGGTCAATGAATAAAGGGGGGAAATGGGATGAAGTTATAGTTAAAAAAATGTTACCATGCTTCTAAAAAGCACAACTTGCACATACTATTAATTGGATGTAGAGTTAACTGAGGTAATGTGTCCTAAAAGCTGTGGGTGACCTGCAGCTTGAGTAACCTATGTTGGCATTTATGTGTATTTGACTTGAAAATGTTTTGCATTGTGAAGGGAAAAACAGTAGAAAACTTTCTCCATGGCATTTGTATCAGCAAGAGTCTAAAGGTTTCCTTTTTCAAAGGAGAGTTACCTGTCTTTCATTTGCCTCCAGAATTACCCTAGGGAAGAGAATGTAATTATTCTTAGCAAATTGAGCCAGAGCAGAGAATAAGGGTATCTGAGTCCTGTCGTTTTCTCTGAAGGCAATGAAAGTTCAACAGGAGAATGTCTTCTTCCTTCCCTTTTAATCCCCTAAAATATTAAATAATTTTTCTGTCCCTTTTTAAAGAAAGGTCAATGTGATCTGATATTGGGTCCCAGGTACTATTTGATTAAAAAAAAAAAAGAATAAAATTATGTAAATATCTTTCCAAAGGGTTCTAGCAGGGTTCAAAAATACTTTTATGGGAAAGTAAGATTTTCTAGCTAGATGGTTAAGAATACTGAACATCTTTCTACTACAAAATGCTGAGTTGTCATTTCTGCTTCCAGCCCCCTTTGGATTTTCTAGAAAGTTGTCTTGTCTGTGTTTCACCCTGGAGACTTCTAACTGCCCTTCCTGTCAGAGAGATGGGGTAAAAAGATGGTTTTTTTTTTGCTTTTTCTTTCTATTAGAACTCTAGTGATCATAAAGAGGATTATTTTCCCAGATTTATCGGTCTTCCTGAGTCATTAGTGTTTCTGGACCTACTTTTTTCATGTTCTTCAGTCTTTGGATGTGTCAGCACAGAAGAGCAGAGGAGCTATGTCCACTGTTAAATATATC